GAATGTCCCGCAAAATCAAGACCAGAATAATAATTAGTTGATACTTTTATGGACCATGATTAGGAAGAATTCTTAAGGGATCAAAACTAATTAAACATAAAGGGACCCAAGACAACCTTGCATAATAATGAAACTTTTAATTCTAAATTTCTATGAAAAGTTAAAAGATGGGAAGTTCCATGGAATGACAAGTATGAGACTTTTTTTCAATGAATCTAAAGAACAAAACAAGAAATTATTGGACAAAAAGAAGAAGTCCCACTATTATGTAAAAAAAAAAAAAACAACACAATAATAATAGGAAAATTGGCAAGTATAACCAAGAAAAAATAAAAACATAATTACTAAACAAACCTCCTTATGTGGCATTAATCCTCACTATTAGTTTTAGAGTTTTTGGTTAACTATTATGTTTAAATTTTTTTTTGGTTATTAACCAAATTGACCCATAATAATACAAAACCAGAAAAAAAAACAAAAAATATCAACATATTCCATATATCTCTTAGCTTTAAGTATAATATTAAAAGAATTAATATTTGAGCAAATGGACATTTTCCCCTCAAGTACTTCCGTCCATGTCGTTTGTTGCTTGGTGTTTTTGCTTGTTCCGTCACTTAAAATGGAACAACTTTAATATTTCTGTAATATTTAGAGAAAGATTACGAACATCATTCTTTAGGATTTACAATTAATTAGTATATTTTTATGTATGTCGTATTGTACCGGTATAACTACAAATTCATGTGTCACTCCTAAGTATAAGTATATATTCTTTCTCAAAACCGATTAGTATTATCAAACAAAAAAAAATTCTTTCTCAAAAAAAAAAAAAATTGAATAGATAAACCCGAATAAATTGACGAAACAAAAAATACCGAATAAATTGCATCTTAGATAATTTTGTAACAATAGAAATTTATAACTACAAAATGTAAAACATATCTTTACACATAATTCTGCAAACGTAATCTTACATGGCAAAAAAAGGAAGAACATTTCAATTCAAAATTTATTGGTAAGTGGTAACACCTACAGGTAAATCAAATATAATATTATTTCTTTATTGAAATAAGCGTATTTTGGTTGGTTTAATATACTGATGTAAAACAATATTTTAAAATAAAGTTTTGGAATTCCTATAAAGCATTCTTTTTGTTGGTGAGTCAAATTAAGAGGTAATAATTGGTTCAATCTTCTCATTTTGTGGGGTGAGCCCACGAGAGGGAGCATCCATGAAGCTTCATACAAAAGCATGGAGCATGTGACAATCTCTTTCTTCTTCTACATCCAAACCTTTCCAAATATATAAATTGTTTTAGAGTTTTATTTTTGTTTCAAAATGTAAGTTGTTTTGACAATACTAGGTACTTTTAACTTTATTGAATATTGTGTGACCATTAGTATTTTGCAATCTTTTGTGTGATTGGTCAAATTATTTTTATTAGATATATTAAATAATATTTTTTAGTTGAAAANTAATTTCTTAATATCCGTGTTTTTTGCTAAAACAACTTATATTTTGAAACAGAGGGAGTATTAAATTTCGCAAACCAATGTTTTTTTAAGACAATTTACATGACAACCCTAATTAATAAAAACAATCACACGTAATTACGACACAAGTATCATAATAGAGAACGAATACATTATTTTGTACCACAAAAATAAAACACAGATTTTGAGTGTATTACAACTAACAAGCATTCCTTCGACAGTCTAGCTTAAACAAATCGCCAATTGTAATATATATATAAGTCGGTATACTCCATCAAATTCATCTTTTAATGTCAAAAATAAAAAAATGTTCTTCTATTGCATGTAACAGTAGTAAGCAAGGATTTCTCATACTATTATCCTTAATTTATTGTGTGGGATAAAATATATAAATAAAAATAGAAAATTACTATAAGAAAGGGTAATGTCAATAAATAGTCAAACAACAATTAATGAATTATTTGATAGATTGGGTAGGTTTTCATACTAAAGATTGATAGTAGTATTTTTTTTTTTCCCAATAACCCGGAGATGATCCGAGTCAAAATCTAAGTAATATTGACAAAACAAATATAGTTACCGAGATAGGTTTTTTATTGATTTAAGTGTGGCATTATTTCATCTGATCAAATGTAAAAAATAATTTGTATAGGAAACAACCTGGAACAATGTATGACAAAACTATGTATGACACGGATGGAACATAATTTAGATGTCTACAGTTTATATCAATTGAGAGAATTTAGATGACCTATTTCAGCCTGTAACGATCGATTATTGATCCATAATGTCTTTGAGCGGTCGTTTGACCAAAGAAACATGAAAATAATACTAACTATTACATAGACACCACTTCATATCTGGTTGGCATTGTTGTGATAATTGACAATTAACCACATATTGACCCATCATCCCATTTCAAGAATCTGAATATTACACATAATTCTGAACCAAACGTAACGATCTATATTATTTAATTTAAATTGTTTATATAAAACTATATATATCCGACGAAGCAAGAACAATAACGAGATGTCACAGGGCAACAAGAGACTTTACGAGTTTACGCCATCTCCAATAGGTTTTGCCGCGGAGCGGATATCGAAAAAAAAATGCATTATTTG